GGCGTCACAAGGACCGATTCATCTCTTAGCGCAAATTTGCCTCTGCCCTGCAAGTTCATATTACGCGCTAAATTCCTCCCCATCTGCCGTCTGTCTATGGGAGCATGAAAAGCCGGAATGAAGACCTTAATCTTAACCAATCTACGAAGCACGCCAACCTCTTTTTCCTTTTTCAACCGGTTTTGCATTTAGCCCTCGTTAAGCGTGAAAAGTAGCGCGGTTGCCTGGTGCTAAACAGTTGCTCGCAGCGTTTCTTTAGAACAGCCTCTACGACATAAAGCACTGACCTGAGCAACGTAATGGATATTCGTCTTTGGTGGAAAGGAATGTTTCTTTGACAGATACAATCTGACATTTTCGACTCTAGTCTATTTGTTAGAGCCATAGCTAACTTGCCTACCCGATATTCATTACACAATGCAAAATCTGTGGTAAAGTCGTTTTTTGTTGCTAACATAGGTTGTTGTTGATCTTATAAGTTGTGTCCTGATCATCGTACTGGTATTGTAACGAAACGTCAGTGACAGACGCTTCATCGTCGGATTTGTTCGGTACTTCCAAGAATGGCGTATTCATCATAAAAAGTTTCTTTGTCAATAGAAATATTGGGCACAATATCGAAAGTGTTTGAAGAAAAGACGATAATACCATTTAGTTCTAAGTGGCTGATTCCACACCGTAGAAATTTACCCATAACTAGTCACTAGCCGACTTCTCAGTCTGCCCGTCAATGACCCTCTGTGTGATATAGTTCGAAACATCCTTCTAATATTTTCTCACTAAAACAATATTGGGCTTACAACCAGCCTTTCAGCCAGTCAATCAGTTGCGTCTATCCTTTCGCGATCGTGGAGTCAGACAGGACAGACAGTGCTTCCAACGCTCGTGATCTTATGCTACATTCGGAGCTTCAGAACGAAATAACCTGAATCTGGCGCAGATTCCTTCGAGACAATTGCTCAAGTCACTCATGACTGTCCGCGCGGTATTTGGCGGGTCAGATGAGCGAGTGGAAGCTGTTTCTGGAAGTTCTGGAAGTATTCAAGGTGTCCAGGCTATTGTACCTGTGACTTCTCAATCTGGAGAAGTTTATAACTTATTGTTCAGAACTGCTGGCTTGAATCAATGCAGTTTAATGTCGATTCACTGTGACCCAAAAGGATAAGCAGTGATCGAAACTGACTGACAGATTTGCGGCATACAGATTTTAGGCGTGATCGCTTACAACATCTAAGTACTCAAGTTCAATGCAAGGCACTAAATAAATTAGATAAATATAAAATAAAACAACAAAAGTAAGGTAATACATAAATATTTAATCATTGACGAGGAGAACTTAAAAACTATTTCATTTTTGCGTCCTATGGCCAACTGTCAGTGGTCGGCTTTAAGATTCCACCGCATACAACAGAGATGACATAAAACGAAAACAAAATTTGCAAAAATCACCGCGTACCATTGGTCTTTGCACTGACGAGCAGTCCTAGTGACCATGCTGCGTTCAACTGCTGTCCAATTTATCTCTGACACTTTCAAACGCATCAAAGTCTCTGTGTCATCAATCTTCGTATGTTGCTTAATAGATTCTAGATACCGAGAGGTCATTTTCACATAATGTAGAAGCGTAGTATAAGCTATTCTCCGCTGTCATTAGATAACATACCAAGCAATTTCTCCTTTTCCAGTCCGCTGAATTTTCCGGTTAGCACGTTTGGCGTAGAACTTTTAAATTTGCAGAACACACTGTGTCTACTGCGGCCGAGAACGGCGGCAATGAACGACCACTGGTGTGGGTGCTCTTCAGCCAGCTGGTGTAATTTTGCTACTTCTTCACGAGTAAATGGACCCCGGTTTATCGATGGACTCAAAGCCTCCTTAGCGTGATAAAAAATGCTGTACGCACTTCGACAGGGCAGGCCTCGACCTTAAGAAACAAAACAGTTTTTTAACTTAATACAACAGGCTAATTATGAGCGCCTGGGCGCGAACTACAATACTTTCATCTTGCCGCAGATATGCTAATTTCACAGCAAATTCACACAAAGGTCCTAGTGGCGATCAAGCGCGAGGGGCGGTCATTATGATGAGGAAAACAAATACTAAATCGTGATGATAAAGATTATAACAGTGATAGCGAAAATTGAGATAATGGAGATGGAGGGCTGTGACAATGAAATCATTCCAAGCAGTTGATCGATATCCATTCGGTCGAAATGAATTCGAGATAAACAAAGTTTCTGCTTACTGGCTTTCGTGCTGTGTTGAACTATAAGTACCCCTTTCCAGTCATTCATTACATGATATTAACCTGATTACTATTATGACCATCGTAGTGGTGAGGGCCGTACCATCCCTTCGGCAGTGAATCACACACAATGTTTATATTTAAAAAAAATATGCAGACTGTACTGAACATTTCATTTGCTTCACGAGGCCTATCTCTGGAGCGAAAGTGTCAGTTTCGCTTGTTTAGCTGCCATCCAAAATCACGTACCTAGTTCGGCATAAAAGTGAGTGCATCGAATAAAGTCTTTTCTTATAGCACGTTCCTGATTTCCAAAGATGAAGTCGTAATTCACATTGTAATAAGTACAGATATTCTGCCAGTTGTTAGCTATAATCGCCTGTTCTTCGGCACTGAATTTTCCGCTTTTCAACTTAATGCCTAAATCATTTCTGAACTGACAATTGCGTCTTAGGTTATAAAATACTTACCCATTTCCTCGATTTCCTGAAATACTGACGTAGAAAACGGGCAGATCGACCGATGCGTGGGTGGTATTTCGTCAGGGCAAAGTGGAACAAACCTAGAAAGATAAATAAACCGTCAGACACAGAGTATGACGGCCCTTCGAACAACCATTTCGACTTTACAAATGTCCGGAACATTGTGAAGAACACAAGTGGCACAAATAAGGCTAATTCGACGGACTGCCGGTCTGGGGAGACACATCTCAAATATCGCAACACCGCATATAAGATAACCTTGTCTGCAAGCTTCCAGATCCAGAGACAATCATTGCGATGGTTTAGACGCGATCTCGACACCTGCAGAAAGACCCGCAAGGCGAATTCATTCGACAAAACAATATGAACGGGCCGAGGCCAAGGGAAATTGAGGCCCACATGAAGACGGCTCGAGTATAACGAGCAGATGAGAGTGTAATCAAACTATCGGAATCAAACAAGCGTGTCTGGCTTACAAATGGACCGAGACCACTAAAAGCCTGAAAGGAACCTTGTCAGCGCACCGGGAAGAAATAATGGGTTGTGAAAAAGAACCAAAATTTACTGTGAACCTCTTATACGCTAAGACAATTACGAATTCGCTATTCTAATGAAAGCAAACTATAGACAAGTTATCATTTGCATACCAGAATTGTTCGCGAGGCATCAATTCAACAAACATGTCGGTCGGTATTTCCGGAACTTATTCAGGCAGGTCGAAAGAAAACCGGCGTTTGGTTAATGACTAACGCCTACTCAACTACACTCTCAAAATATATTCCAGTATGTTTCTATCTCTCTTATTGTATAAACTAATGAAGTCTGATCTGTCCATTGTTGAATAGGCTATTTTAAGTCAACCTAGCAGCTCAGCTTCAGCTTCAAGCATTTTCGAATGCAACGCACTAAAAAATTTGTTTGACCTACAAACAACTACAAGTACAAAATGCGCTTACTTTTTGCTGCCAGAAAATTCGTCCTCCAATTTTGCTTCCATCTTTTAACCACGAGCGGAACGTACAATTCAATACTTACTGCTTGAAAAGATCTAAAATGTAACGATTACTTACATCGTATCCATGGACGGTACAAAGATTAATTTTATGTATTCTTGACCATGTATGATTAATAATTAAGACAAGTGTGTAAGAGTACGAGGTGAGTTGACATGCGCAAATGTTAAACACCCTTATGCGTTCTTATCCGTTCGATACTAGCGATTAAATAGTCTAAACATCGTGAATATAACTCTGAATGCTGTTGTCTGCAAAACGTCTGGACTTCGTCATGTCCGCTCAGCGTTTTAATGCTTTTAAGATATAAATCCTTCAGCGTCCCAAGATGAACAATACTTAGTGAACTGCACACATTTCGATATCTTTCGTTTTTATTAGATGGGGAACTTCCGTCGAGTTTGCATATTTCAATTCCAACGGATCTGAATGAAGGGCTCATGCTCAATACATGTCTAATAAGGTCGATCTCTCTTCCCTAAGCAAGATTGGACGTTTTCGATTTTGTTCCATTGTTTGAACCGTAGTAATTACTTGATCAACGGATGATGGCACAAAATCAAATTCATGCAAAGGAACCTTTTCCTAATCTCTAAATCTACTGAAAATAGTTGTTTATGGAAGGAAACTCTTCACTATGCGCTGAACTGACTGAGGCAAGGCACTCGCAGCTGTCATTACAAAGAGACATAAATGCATCACAAAGGATCGTCCTTCATCATCAAAAGATATTCTTCTATCATAAAGGATGTTCCTTTTTCATTTTATATTAGGCTGCTTCATCTACCGAGCGCGTCTCCGGGTTGCAGATTGGAATAACCACCCATTAAACTGATTTCTAACTAAGAAACAGAGATTAAAACTGATTAAGCAAAAAGCCGAAAGATACAAATGTTCGTACGTTCTACAACAATGAGAAACATGGAAGCTTCATGTTAATTTTTCAGTCCCCTTTTTTTCTTTTATTCTCACATTTGCACGTTCGTCATTTACATCTTATTTGAAAAACTTATGCAACATCATAAGCTACCAATCCTAGTGATGCTGATGAAGACTTACGACAAAGCAGTTGCTGATAAAATGAAGGGGAGCGTAAGAGGCTCTGGCGATTACTTAAAACACCACAAGGCCTGACAATAGCGTTTCGATTAGGTTTAGGAGTTCAACCGTATGAGCAGCTGACGGTACAGCACCGATGTTTTAAACTTATTTTTCAGGTACTGCATCTGCGAAATTAATTAGAATTAAGTCCTGCAACTAATTTTATTTATAAACACGATCATTCTTTTTCTTCTCTCCACTGCTGAAAAATCGTACAACCTTGTTCAAGTAATTAGAGTTCTTTCTGAAGGTACTTTCATAACCCTAAGCAGTTACATAATTATCCATTTCAGTGATCATTTTTCTGTTTTGTAAATTTTGCCATATTATCTTCTTAATGCCTTATTTTGTTGGCATCATCCGTGAGTGATCTTCATCGCACTCTGAAAACGTTGGCAACCGCCTGCGACATGGCCGATATGTGTGAACGTACTGAAAAGTGAAATGTTGAGAGAAATCATCACCTTCAACCGTTTGCATAGTTTCTGATGTTCGCTGTATCACCAGCTTTTAAAAACTTTCTCTATAAGACACTGCAGCTGAAAATATTCCTCTCCAAAGTGGATTTTCCCCTACCTTGCTCCTTCATGTTTCATACTGGCCCCCTGGCCATCATCCTAGAACCTCCCAGAACCATTTAACCACCGTTATGAGTAAAAGCCAACGCAGTTCGACAATCATTACTGCACCTTCCTTAGAACCACTAGAACTATCTCCATGCTGCTGAATACGCTGGCCTGAAAGAGGAAAGCTACTGGCGAATTTTCGTAGGAAGTGAAAGCAATTCCTTTCTCAGCCCAAATATTGGACAGGTTTCCAAAAGCACTAAAGACTAGGAAGACCCTCCTACTTAACCCTGGCTTGACAGTGCCATCATTGGAGACGAGAAACAACCTTCTGAAGAGCTTCACCTCCATGTTCCACTTGTAAATCAACTGAACCGGATGACCTTATAACTTTTCATTTCCATGAGTTAATGAAGAGGCCGGCTTTTGCAGCTGTGCTGCATATGGAAGCCTTCAGGTAAAAGAGTCCGCTTCCTGAACTAGTCACCAGGACAATACAATCTGCATACTCCATGTCTGTAAAATACCTAGCCGGATGTCTTCAACTGTTACTTCGATTGTCTAGCATGAAACCTTCGTCTGCAACTTCCTGAAACCACCCATTACAGAGCCAAATACGTTCGACGATACACAGTTATCAAATCGATCATCGACTTCTGTGAACAAGCTTCACTACACAAAGCACAAAGATGCACGGTTCGACGCTCGAAGGTGTTACAATAAATGGTACATTGTTTGCATAAAAACGGAAAAAAGTTCAATGCGGTTATTGCTGAGATCGCTAAGGCCGTTCTTTCCCCCATTTAACTGCTTCCTCTGATATGTG